TACAAAATACACATCCTGTAGCAGTTCTGAAGAGAACACATCTTAAAGGTTTCAACAATATCTGATCACATTTCATAAAGACTACATGCACACAAAGCTTTAGCAGAGTTTCAATGACACCAGGCAGAGCTCCTTTAGAAGAGTTACAAATCAACGGAAACATTTGAATGGATATTAAAAGTCTCCTATTATGCTATTTTTAGGCATATATTATGGGTCTCAGATATATAAAAAAACATGTCTATTAGGGGTGGGGGAAATAATCGATACAGCATAGTATCGCGATACTTTGCGTGGCGATATTGTATCGATGCACGGATGCCAAGTATTTAAAAAAATATATAAGCTCTAGCATATCCCTCCGAAAGATGGTCGTATATAAAACAGGAAGTTAAGACATGTATACAATTGCAATGAAAGTAACAAAAACAATGCCATCTCCTTTTCAGGTTCAAAGAACACACATTGGGTTATTTACATAAACGATTTATATTGCAAATACATGTTTTAACCAGGAAGGGAAGACGGACATGGATATGACCCATGTGATTTGCAATATCGCAATATATCGTATCGCAATACTTAGCATATCGTAGAATCGCAATACTATAGTATCGTGGCTTAAGTATCGTGGGGAGCCTGGTGATTCCCAGCCCTAATGTCTATGAAGTGTTTTGCTCAAAATACCAAACAGATTCTGCATTTTAGAATCCCTCATATCCCTCTGTTCCAGCTGTTAGAGAAACACTGATTCTGGGTCCGTACCTTTATAAAAAAAAGAGGTGGGGAAGCTTTTGCCTGCTCAGAATTCTCCGGAGATAAAGCTAAACACTGCGGTGATTAAACGCCATCATGTTCCAAACCACATCAAGGATTATTTCTGAAACAGTATGGAGCTCAAACTCTTTTTCTCTCTCAGGTTTACCACAAGGTGAGTTCCTTTTTATTTCCTGCTTCTTTACACTTACTCTCTCCGTTAGCTCTGAGTGTTAGCGCTGCTTGCTAATTTAAACAAAGACCATATTACGTCCAAAACACGTCACGCATTGTTTCTGATAGCAACTTTCTGATAGGGCCGTGGGTCTGCATTGCAGATATTACGTCATATCGGACGCAAATCTGGATCAACTCCGTTGTTCCCTCGTTTTTAGAGATGTGGGTACGGAGGAAAAGAGAGAGGGTTTTGTTTTCTGACACTTTGTGAGTTCCCTGACACACCGGGGACACATATTTATGTATAAAAGACATCAAAAAGTGCATTTTGCATGATAGGAGACCTTTAAATGAACCCGGGGTGATGAACACAAAGAAAAGCTCAAATCATTTATTCTCCTTGGCTTTTTCTGACTTTGTCCTCAAAGACTTTGAGAGCGTCTCCAAGAGAACCCAGTGCTTTGATCACAGGGAGAACGTCTCCCCCCCCAAACGCAGGATTATGGGATGCCTGTGGACCATTTTGAGATGGACACGGGTCAACAGGTAACCCTCTGGGACCTGGAAGAGAAACAGGGAAATACTTTGGTTATAAAACCAACAGTAGATTGTAGACGGGCTTCTTCAACTGATAGAGGAGAGTATTTGTTCTCACTGGATCAATACTATCTGATCTGCTCTCACCTCTCTGTACAGAGACATACTGTAGAGAGACTGTGAATGGTCTGTGTTTCTGCCCACACACACACACACACACACACACACACACACACACACACACACACACACACACACACACACACACACACACACACACACACACACACACACACACACACACACACACACACTTAAATTGTCTTTTTGTACATAGTTTTAAATTGGAGCAACTGTCACTAAACCAAATTTCAAATGTAAAAGTAACTAGTGTCAAATGAATACGGTGGACGTAAATATAAATACCCAAGCGAAGTACAAGTACCTCAAAGTAATACAGGGTTCTTGATGGACTCCAACTCTGCTTCAAAGTATGCTTTTGCTTTACCATTGGTTTATTCAGTTTTAAAAGACACTAACTATCTATGTCCCTGTCCACTGAGTATTATTTACAGTGATGCGTCACATGCAGCCTCCGTCGGTCACAGTCTTTTTTCTATTCTGTTTTATTTGTATTTACTTGCACTATTTGATCTGTTTTGTCCTATATGTTGCACTGTTGGAGGAGCCTGGCTGTGACCTATGATTTTCATTGACACATCTACACTGTAGCTATGTACAAATGACAATAAAGCCTTGAATCTTGTCCCCCTGCTTGATTCTTTGCGGTGAGCACAGCATTACGATGTCCTCGAACAGGGCGGAGGTGAGGGGGCGGAGGCGTCTGAAGTCCTCCAGGTAAAAGTCTCCGCTCAGGATCACACCTCATAACCTTCTGGAACAAAATGTATGTGAGGCCAGTCGGGACTGTAGCCGTACGCCTCGGCCACCACCAACACCTGAGGGAGGAAAACACAGGAATAATCAGAGACGATCAGGACCAGAGGGGGGAAGTATTGGAGTACAAATACTTTGTTACTGTACTTAAGTACATTTTTCTGGTATCAGTACTTTACTCCACTACTTATTATTCTGACGACTTTTTACTTTGACTTCTTACATTTTGAACTCAAATACCTGTACTTTCTACTTCTTACATGTTGAACTCAAATACCTGTACTTTCTACTTCTTACATTTTGAACACAAATACCTGTACTTTCTACTTCTTACATTTTGAACACAAATACCTGTACTTTCTACTTCTTACATTTCTAACCCAAATACCTGTACTTTCTACTTCTTACATGTTGAACACAAATACCTGTACTTTCTACTTCTCACATTTTGAACACAAATACCTGTACTTTCTACTTCTCACATTTTGAACACAAATACCTGTACTTTCTACTTCTTACATGTTGAACACAAATACCTGTACTTTCTACTTCTTACATTTTGAACTCAAATACCTGTACTTTCTACTTCTTACATGTTGAACACAAATACCTGTACTTTCTACTTCTTACATGTTTTACACAAATACCTGTACTTTCTACTTCTTACATTTTGAACTCAAATACCTGTACTTTCTACTTCTTACATGTTGAACACAAATACCTGTACTTTCTACTTCTTACATGTTGAACCCAAATACCTGTACTTTCTACTTCTTACATGTTGAACACAAATACCTGAACTTTCTACTTCTTACATTTCTAACCCAAATACCTGTACTTTCTACTTCTTACATGTTGAACACAAATACCTGTACTTTCTACTTCTCACATTTTGAACACAAATACCTGTACTTTCTACTTCTCACATTTTGAACACAAATACCTGTACTTTCTACTTCTTACATGTTGAACACAAATACCTGTACTTTCTACTTCTTACATTTTGAACTCAAATACCTGTACTTTCTACTTCTTACATGTTGAACACAAATACCTGTACTTTCTACTTCTTACATGTTTTACACAAATACCTGTACTTTCTACTTCTTACATTTTGAACTCAAATACCTGTACTTTCTACTTCTTACATGTTGAACACAAATACCTGTACTTTCTACTTCTTACATGTTGAACCCAAATACCTGTACTTTCTACTTCTTACATGTTGAACACAAATACCTGTACTTTCTACTTCTTACATTTAGAACTCAAATACCTGTACTTTCTACTTCTTACATTTTGAACCCAAATACCTGTACTTTCTACTTCTTACATGTTGAACCCAAATACCTGTACTTTCTACTTCTTACATTTTGAACACAAATACCTGAACTTTCTACTTCTTACATTTTGAACACAAATACCTGTACTTTCTACTTCTTACATTTTGAACTCAAATACCTGTACTTTCTACTTCTTACATGTTGAACACAAATACCTGTACTTTCTACTTCTTACATGTTGAACCCAAATACCTGTACTTTCTACTTCTTACATTTTGAACTCAAATACCTGTACTTTCTACTTCTTACATTTAGAACTCAAATACCTGTACTTTCTACTTCTTACATTTTGAACCCAAATACCTGTACTTTCTACTTCTTACATTTTGAACCCAAATACCTGTACTTTCTACTTCTTACATGTTGAACCCAAATACCTGTACTTTCTACTTCTTACATTTTGAACCCAAATACCTGTACTTTCTACTTCTTACATGTTGAACCCAAATACCTGTACTTTCTACTTCTTACATGTTGAACACAAATACCTGTACTTTCTACTTCTTACATGTTGAACACAAATACCTGTACTTTCTACTTCTTACATGTTGAACACAAATACCTGTACTTTCTACTTCTTACATGTTGAACACAAATACCTGTACTTTCTACTTCTCACATTTCCCAAACAGGCTGGTTCCTTTAGTTTGAATGTGTGTTTGGTGGCGTGATCATTATTATTTAGAGTCATTGCGTGCCTATTGATTTGAACACGATCCGTGTATCCATCATTTCCTGGTCTTCTCTAAAGAAGAGGGACCAATGAAAACGTTGTCATGTTGCCGTTGTTCAGCATGGAAACATTCATTAGCTAACAATGACATTATTGTTCTATTATGGCCTATAATTACAAAAACAACACTCCTGATAATACTTCTGATTATTATTGCACTGGCTGGGACTCCTCAACCACCTCCTCTTTAATCTGCATTTTAATAATTGGCCACTAGAGGACAGTGCAGCAAGCTGTAATCCCTAATATTAATATGTAAAGTAGTTTGTTCTGACTGGGTTAAAACCTTTGAAAGGAAACATTTCCAGGTGAATTGGTATTAAGATATGTTGTCCTAATGTCATTAAAGGAGGATCTTTGTTCAACCTGTAAAATACAAAAACACTTTATTGAATCTGATGTAGACTATGAAAATCTGTGTGTGTTTGTCTTGAGTGTACATGCACCCAGGTTAAAGTGTATTTCCCGTTCATTTTGTGGATTAAAACATGCACAACGTACACAGAACAACCAAACAGACACACTCAGATAATTGGAAAGATAATGCAGAGCCAAGAGAATATAAAAATGTCATTTAATATTAAAAAAGTTCTCTGTGCTTTTCATAGAGCCCTGTGATTGACAGCATATATATTACAGTTGTAACTGCAGTGTAGACAACATTCAAATCCAGCTTAGTGATCACATTCAAAACAAAGACAGAGTTAAAACAGATGATGCATTTTGTAAAATACCAAATATATTAATTTAAAAAAGGAGAAAGGAAGTAACACATCAGTTTTGGCACAATAAATAGAAGTGCAGTGTTTGACACGTCCACATCCTGTAACATCATTTTCGTTTTCCTTAGATATGAAAAATGCATAATAACAAAAACCAGTGGACTTTGTGTCAGAGAGAAGAAGACATGGACTTTGGATCAATGTTGGTAAAGAAGTATCTAAAATATGTATGAAATTAAAGAATAACAAATGTGCCACCGTTAAGATGCCGAAAAGCATTTTACGTCAAATTAAAAAAGGCAAGGAAAATAAATCAAACTTTCTGTATGAAGGGGAAAACATGCACTTCTGGGGAATGTTAAAAAATAAATATCAACAACTAAAAACACAAAAAATATGTCGATGCAAAATGTTGACATATCTAAAAAAAAAAGAAATGAAACAAGCATAATGAAATCTAAATTAGGGATGGGAAATGTCTCGATGCAAATTGTCCAAAACAATATTCCTCGAATATAAAAATACAAGAGTGAACGTTCTGTGTGACGGTCCACAAGCGCTCAGATGTCATAATGCATGTCTCTTAGTACAGGTTACTAAATGTCTATTTAAAAGTTTAAAATGAGGGATAATGAACGTGTCGACGCAACCGTTGAGATGTCGTTTTCTGTAATATTCAAAATGCACAAATTAACTGTCTGTCTGACGGGAGGAAACCCGGAGTTAGGAATGAAAATAATGCAGCGATAGAAGCAAAAATACTGAAAAAAAAGGACTTTTCTGTCTTTGGAGTCCCTTAGTAACAGGGTGGGAGCAGCTGGATGAACACAACCTGCTGCAGTCTCTCTGGTACTACCACCTCTTCCTCCTCCTCCCTCACTCACTCACAGAGCGTCTGCAGGGTGGGGGTCTCTGAGGGTCTCTGGGTAAAATAGAGTGAATTTTCTGTATTTTGAGTCCCTTTGTAACAGGGTGAGAGCAGGCAGTCCTCTTCACAGAAACCTGCTGTATGAACACACCTAATGCAGTCTCTCAGGTTTCACCTCCTCTTCCTCCCTCACTCACAGAGCGTCTCCAGGGTGGGGGTCTCTGAGGGTCTCTGGGTCTCGCCCCTCTTAGTGTCTCTTCTCTCTGGCTCTCTCTGAGCCTCTGGTCCTGCAGAGAGCAGCCGATTTGAGGAGCTCTCCTCCTCCTCGGGGGGGTTCTCCTCCTCGTTGGACCCGGACCCCGGCAGAGCTGTGTACGTTGGGACGGCGTTAAACATGACGAAGCCCACCATGATGACCACGAAGGAGATGATGTAGAGCGTGGAGAACTGAGGAGAGAGGAGGAGATGTTACTGAGAGACACCATGTTTACACGTTACATGTTTTATCTAACTGAGTTTTAAAAGAATCAGAATCAGGTTTATCACCAGGTAGGTAGACACGTACGAGCAATTTGACGGAAATGTAATTATATAGACTTATTCACACTTTTTCTACCACCTTCAGCTTTTTATACATAGTCCATACAAGGAAGGACAAGAGGAAAACAAATGGGAATCAATCAAAAACAAACAAGTTTAGTTTAGCACCACTAGCATTTAGCATCCGAACAAAAACAGTCGATGGGGCAGCTTATTTTTGCATAAAATAAGGATAAGTGGTGTTGATGTCAGACAACAGCCTGATGCATATCACCTTGAATAGACATTTTAAACAGCTAAAGTCTCCCTGACTGGTTATTAAAGTGCCTCACGCTGTAGTGGAAGAGGAAGAGTCCGCAGAAGAGGCTGAACAGGTCGGCGGTGAGCAGAGACAGATTCACCGCCGTGGCACTCGTCATCTTCACCACCACCGGCATGAAGCTATACAGAGAGTACATACACAGAGCATACACTGCAAACCACAGGGCTACACACACACACACACACACACACACACACACACACACACACACACACACACACACACACACACACACACACACACACACACACACAACACACACACACACACACACACACACACACACACACACACACACACACACACACACACACACACACACACACACACACACACACACACACACACACACACACACACACACACACGTTAGAGACCATTGACATACACTCAACCACTCTTAATTGACAAAACAGGAAGTTAACTTACACGTGTGAAAATCCCATGTTATCGCTGCGACTGCGTGAGTTTCCAGAACAGCTCTGCAACAACAAGTAAGCATGAGAGTACACACTTTAGAGTGTGTGTGTGTGTGTGTGTGTGTGTGTGTGTGTGTGTGTGTGTGTGTGTGTGTGTGTGTGTGTGTGTGTGTATCTCACAGCTGCACTCCGCTGATGAGGGTCCCGAAGAGTCCCATCATGCCGAGGAACTCGATCCGGCTCAGGTTCTTCACCGTTTGTTCCTGACAGACGTTAGAAATGGCGTACAGAACGGCACTGAGGAGAACCAGACCATCACCCAGAACCACACTGCTGGCTGAGAACACACACAGAACCAGACTCAGGGACAGTTTTATCCCACAGGCCATTTCATTGCCATTTCTACACTGTAGCTTATGTGCATATGACAATAAAACCTTTGAATCTTTAACTGCTGGCTGAGAACACACACACACACTGCTGGCTGAGAACATACACACACACACGAGTAAATAAAAGGTTCCTCACTGGACCCCTGGTCGCGCCCTGCCAGGATGTCGGCCCCCACCATCGCCCCTACCCCCAGCAAACACACCCCCACGGACACAAAGTGGACCGGTCTGAAGCGGGTCTTCAGGAAGAACCAGGAGAGGACCATCAGCACCGGGATCACGAAGCAGTCCAGCAGCTACAGAGACAGAGACACACACACACGTTGATTGATAGAGGTCAGAGAAGATAAGCCTTAGATGTCACATTTCTGATTAAAATACTTCACGAGGGCACGAGGTGGAGGACTTGTGTGGCAAGTTTGGACATTGGAGAAACAACTGCAAATTAAGAAAGCCGCAGGAGGGAACGGAGGACTGGGTGGAGCAGGCATGACTAAAGCCAAGTGCATCTACAGAATCAGGTCATGTATTATCACACACAAACATAGACCCTGAACAGATGAAAAAGGCTAACGTAGAAAGTCAAACAACTACAGAACAGACTAACCCAAAAACAAGATAACCCAAATCAAGATGACCTAAGACAAAATGACTCAGACCTTGAGTGACACAGAAGCAAGTTCAGATAACGTGTCTATCAGCTCATCCGATGAGGAAGTGGAGATTTTAGAATTAGGTACAGTAGAATTAATGTTGGCTCACGTAGATAAACCATGTGTTACCTTAAAAGTAATGGGAATAGATGTAACCAGAATATGCAAAACCTTTGTTCAGACAGCAGATTGTAAGAATGGATTTATGACGTCAGTGTACTCACTCAACTGCATGGGGGGAAAAATAGACCAGTGGCATTTTAGTCCTCACAGTTAGACACCATAGCTCGAGCCATGCCCATTTGTTTACAAGCAGTAATAGCAGCCTCCATGGCAGTACAGGCATCTGCAACAATAGTGCTTTTTAGATCATTAACTCTAAAAGTAACTCACGCAGTGTCCGTACTATTGTTACAAAATAAACAAACCTATATGTCACCAGCTAGACATTTAGCATGCATGGCTACGTTGTTATCACAACCAAATCTTACTATCGAGAGATGTACTACTTTAAATCCAGCTACACTACTGCCAGTAGAGATAGATGGGGAACCACATGACTGTATCGCAGAAACTGAGAACAGAGTGTTACCAAGGACAGACCTGACTGACATTCCCTTCCCAAATGCAGACATAGCAATGTATGTTGACGGTTCATGTAAGAGGAATCTTGATGGAACTAATGCAACAGGCTATGCTATAGTGACACAGACGAAACTGCTCAAGGGCGCATCATTGCCGTCTCACTTATCAGCACAGGCAGCAGAACTAATCACACTAACAGAGGCATGCAAACTGGGGAAAGGGAAGACAGTTAACATTTATACAGACAGCAACTATGCTTATTCATGTATACATGTGTTTGCACAACAATGGAAAAATAGGGGGATGGTAACATCCACAAACAAACCTATTACACATAAAGATTTGATCCTATCACTTTTGGATGCAGTACAACTCCCTAAGAGAGTAGCGGTCTGTAAGTGTGCAGCACACACTACAGGGACGGACCCAATTTCCACAGGGAACCGAAAGGCAGATGAGGAGGCTAAGAAAGCAGCACAAAGACAGTGACATGACAATGACCAATATATTTCTGAAAATATGGAACACATTGATCATGACATACTAAAAGACATGCAAGCGAATGCACCTGACAAAGAGAAGGTATACTGGAAGAAGAAATTGTGTACACAGAATAAAGAGGGGTTGTGGGAAAGTACAGAAGGCAAATTTGTATTACCAAAAAGCTTATTTCGATATGCAGCTATATTGAGCCATGGGTTGGACCACGGCTCAACAGTGGGAATGGTGGACGTAATACAGAAGATATTCACAGCCTATGGCTTCACAAACTACTCTAAAAAAAATCCGGCTCGAAGGACCAATATGTTCGAAAAATATCACTCGACACCAGGTTGAGAATCAATGATCAGGTTCTAGTTTATTCTTGCAAGAAGGAGCAGAGTTAAATCACATACAAAGGATATGGGTTAACTCACACACATGAGGTATGTTGCTCAAAGGAACAGCAAAAAACGTCAGGCTTATATAGTCCCAAAACACGGAGAGTAAAGCCGTAAAAGGACGGTGGCTGCGGGTGTCGGAATGTCAGCCGTAGGTGAAGGGAAGATGGGACAACTGGATGGGTCATCTGTGACTTCTGGACTCCCAACAATGTGAGATAATATAGGAGACTGTCTCCTCAGAATAGGACAAACAACCTGAAATGAACAAATAAGTCCCTGCCTCCTCATAATAGAACAACAACCTGTCTTCTGTTATCAACAGAGGAGGCAGCTGCAAGGTCGTACAGTCTCAGAGCCACACATGATCTCACTGCATTAAAACAACCCAAAGAGTGGAGAAAACAGTATTTCTCCAACATTTGTGATGTTTTCTTTGCTATTTGTCCTCAAACTTAAAAAACCTGAAATCAAATTGCAGCTGGTTTTTCAAAAGTATTAAATAACAGGACCAGCAAGACAGAGAAACATCGGCTTCTGCCAATTGACACTAAATCTGATGTTAGAATCGTCCAAAAGAGTCACACACTGTGTTTTGGCCTCATTTTAGCTTCTATTCCTATCCTACTTCTTAATATGGCATCTATTGCCCATTGACATATGGTTTGTCAGAGACCAGTGACGGTCTTCTCACCTGTATACTGGTCAGAGTGGTGTACTGGTACGCCTTCACCACGGTGTAGTTTGCCTCCACATCTGCTACTCCCATCAGAAAATACTTCCACCACTTGGTCTTTAAGATGTGGAGGATGTTCCTGTCTCCTTTAGAAACACATGCAGTTTGATTAGGAGGAAAAAAGGGCTCTGGTTTCAGACAGAGGGTGAAAAGGTAAAGAGCTTTTTGAACATTAAAGCATGGAGACATGTCACAGTAGAGACACTACATACTGATATACACCTGAACATCAGCAGGAGAGGACTCTTTAAAGTAGAGACACTACATACTGATATACACCTGAACATCAGCAGGAGAGGACTCTTTAAAGTAGAGACACTACATACTGATATACCCCTGAACATCAGCAGGAGAGGACTCTTTAAAATAGAGACACTACATACTGATATACACCTGAACATCAGCAGGAGAGGACTCTTTAAAGTAGAGACACTACATACTGGTATACACCTGAACATCAGCAGGAGAGGACTCTTTAAAGTAGACACTACATACTGATATACACCTGAACATCAGCAGGAGAGGACTCTTTAAAGTAGACACTACATACTGATATACACCTGAACATCAGCAGGAGAGGACTCTTTAAAGTAGAGACACTACATACTGATATGAACCTGAACATCAGCAGGAGAGGACTCTTTAAAGTAGAGACACTAAATACTGATATACCCCTGAACATCAGCAGATTATGTCCCCTTTAATACCTTTTCTGGTGCAGAGGATGGTGGTGTAGACCAACAGCAACATGGCGTAGTTCAGGAAGCTTTGCAGCATCGGAGTCTCCACCTTAGCGTCAGCGAGGTACTGACAGCTGACCGCAGTCCCACAGATCAGCAGAGAGCAAACCTGCCCCATCAGGAGGGTTTTCAGCAGGCGCCTGGGGGGGGGAAGCATCGTGATATATAATCAAACTAACGTATATGCAAGAGGGCTGAAACGCATAATTATTTCCAGATAAATTGCTATAAAATGTGAGAAAATAGTGGAATATATCTTCAGTTTCTCAGTCAATAAGTCAATGTCTTATTTCATCAGACCTGAAGATAATCACTTTAATATGATAACATTAAAGACATGTACAGTAACGGCCCGTCCACACAGCGGCGTGCATTGAAGCTTCAACGCTTCTGCCCATTCACTTTGAATGGGGTGACGTCACGCTTTGCCGAACTGAATTGTGGGAGCGTTGCTTCGCTTTTGCTCGCTTCAAAAGTTGAGCAATGTTCAACTTTTGAAGCTTCGACGGAAGCGTCAGCCAATCGAATCATATGCCAGTACAAGCTCTAGCCAATCAAACCGCTGCTTGTGTGTCCGCGGCGGGAGATTCAGGTGAATGGTTGTTGGTCTAGCTTCAGACATGCCCGCCGGCAAGCGTCAACGCACGCCGCCGTGTGTAGGGGCCGTAAGAGGGATCATTTACAAGTCAAACTACTGTTTCCCTGGGTGAGGTAGGAAGTCTGCTTTATGCACCTGAAACCACACCTTGTTCACTATGACGTCACTGCGCTCCTATTGGCTGGCGCTCGAACACATTGTTTGTGATAGGCTAAGGGCGGGACATCTCTAAGCAGGTTGACCAATCACAACAGAGCTACAAAATACAAATATAAGACGTATCTGACACTCCCACTCACCAAGGTCAAAGGATAATGTTCCCCTTTTTCTAAGGTCAAGGATTAAAAACTAATTACAGACATTTGAACATGAACTCTATTATGTCTCTTGCAGCAGGACAGTTTTCACTTTTAGTTTTTAAAGATAAATATGGTTTAATGAACTCGTATTTACTGTTAAACCAATATAAAAGTGTCTTTGAGGACAATGATCAGCACTCTATAAACAAAATGTATTATTATTGTTATTATGACAGACATTTTGTATTTTTTATATGCAAATACAGTATCACTGATGTACATGGTATGCAACTAGAAAAGTATTTTATGAATTCTCCTTTTGTTCACTTGATTTTGTTTTGAATTATTATGTGTTAATGCCTATGTAAAGCACGTTGAATTACCTTTGTGTCTGAAATGTGCTACATAAATAAACTAACCTTAACCTAAGATGTTCAACTAGAGCGTATTGACCCGTTTTATATTACTGATTGAATGATAATTGTAATAGAAAAATATTATACTCACTTACTTACTTTAAAGGGGACCTATCATGCAAAATGCACTTTCTGATGTCTTTTATACATTAATATGTGTCCCCGGTGTGTCAGGGAACTCACGCAGCGTCAGAAAATAAAACCCTCTCTATTTTCCTCCGTACCCAAATCTCTAAAAACGGGGGTTCAACGGAGCTGATCCAGATTTACGTCCGATATGACGTCATATCTGAAATGTGGACCCACGGCCCTATCAGAAAGTTGCTATCAGAAACAATGCCCGACTGTTTTGGACGTAATATGGTCGGTGTTTACATTAGCATCGCTAACACTCAGAGCTAACCTGTACTGGAGAGCATGTGTGTGAAGAAGCAGGAAATAAAAAGGAACTCACCTTGTGGTATAACCGGCAAGAGAGAAAGCCTTTGAGCTCCATACTGTTTCAGAAATAATCCATGATATGGCGTTTCATCACGGCAGTATTTAGTTTAGACAGTAGCTGCCGGGTCCCGCATGAGCTTTATACCCCTCCTTTTTTATTTTTTTTTTATCACATTTTTTTTTTTTAAAGCTTTATACCCCAAATCAGCACTTTTGAAACAGGAAGTGAAATAGAGGGATATGAGGCATGGCTAGAATGGAGACCTATGCTATTGCCTAAAAATAGCATGATAGGTGACCTTTAATGATATCATTGTGTGATTCTTATTTGCTAATATTTAACTATATTTACTAATCTTACACTTCTTAGCTAAGCTTTGGAAAAGTCCTTATTAAGAAGGTGTGTTGCAGTGTTGTTAGTTACACTCTATGTGCATCAACATTATGACCTTCACCTTCTGTTGAACTTAGAACTTCCTGATAGCCTCCCTAACTCCCTAAACTCCCAGAATGCTCCTTTGATATCACCAAGCTCAAGCCCTCCCTTCAAATATGCAACCCAAACTCTACTCTTCAGCTTCCACTCTGCAGACTGTATGCTCTCTGTGTGACTGACTGAACTTTCTTGCAAGAAATAAAATACGACAAAGACAGCTGAATGGTTAGATTCTCTATCCACATTTGATAAATAAATTCCCACCACATTACTCACCATGTGAACACGTCCCTCAGGTTGTAGTTGTACAAACCGCAGGCGACCCTCCATTTCCCACACAACCTCTCGTCTTCATGCCCCTCCATATCTGAGAGAGCTAGATCTAGAAAAGAACATCAAAGATGAAAAACCTTTAAGAATTAGTGTCTTTAAAGCTTACTGTCTGCATCAGACCATCCGAGCAGCAGAATCTCCACAGGAATGTAAATGTGAATCATGTGACTGATGAAGAGGCTCATTTCTGCTGATTAAATGACAATAACTGAAAGCATGGTGCCCAAGATCAGATTAAATTAAACTGCTCAGAGTACTGAGACCACGAAATGCAGTTTGCACTTAACCAGAAGTGCAGAGTTACTCAAGTATAATATAAATAGATATATATATATGACATAAACAAACTGTTGTATATACACTATAAGGAGGTTTAAACTGTATCAACAGCGAATTGAATACACTATACAGTAGATCAGGTATAAATAAACACAGTATAATACAGACACAAAACAGAAGAAATATGAATATACTATAGAAAATATAGTTGTTTGGACAGACAATACAGATAGGTCGGTCGGACGTAAAAGTCTCTTAATATGACAATCTACTCTGCCTTGTTTCTAGCCTGGTTAATAAGAATTGAGATTACAGAACTGCACTTAAAGTTAAATTACTTACAGACTGGGTATACATTAGAGGCAATGGAGCTAAAAGCGAACAGATATGTACATTTTGGGAAAGTTGAACTACAATTAGCCACAATTACGCCAATAGATGTATGCCGAATGTTAATGTAGCTTATTATAATGCCAATTAAGGTTTAACATTATGTTTAAACGGGTATAAACGACTCAATATTCAACAGTTATATTATCTTAATGAATTAAAAATAAAGACAATATTTACAACAAACTAAAATACGTAAGAAACTGGGTAGGCGGCCTACAGTAAATAAAATAAAATGCGACAAATACTATATTCAAAGTGCAGAGCTGTGCAGATTTAAAACAGGAAGTGCGGAGGAGAAATGTTTAACATATTTTGCAGGATTTACTGTATTAACAAATACAAGATATTGCACATATAAGCACATTTTAGGACTATTAAACTAAATTAAGCTAAAGTTCCATCATTAGATGTATGCCAAATTATAATGTAGGTTCTTATAATGCGAATTATGGTTTTAAATATGTCAAAACATGTTTAAATGACTTGTAATACACAAAACATAATTAAATTGTCCCTTTTTTCAATGCAGTTTGGTTAAGCTTCAGTGACAGCGTCTTATATCGACCTAAAAGCGAACATTTGAGCACATTTTGAGAATATTAAACTACAGTAAGGCATACTAATACCATTATATGTATGCCGAATGTTAATGTAGCTTATTATAATGCGACTCATCGTTTAAAATATGTTAAAGCATGTATAAATGACTGCCAACATCCAAAGCGAAATTAAAACCGTCTTTTTATCAACGGAGTTTGGTTTTGTGTGTTTTACACATGAGCGACAGCGTCATAAATCGGGCTTCCTGAATATTATTTATATCTTAACAAAGCGTACATACCGTAATATACTTTTTCTTTTTCCTCTTCAGTCATGACAAGTGTGGAGAAAAACTCAAACTGTGATAAAAGTCCATCCTTTAAAAAAAATCGCACCAAATTCTCATCCACGTTTGGCAATTTGAGAACGTCAACCAAACCTCGTGCTGACAAGCCCCGCCTCCTGCGTCCTGATTGGTGGAAATACAACAAACGAGTGAAGTGACGTCGGCGCCGTGCAGTCAAACTTGATCTGATGCTGATGAGAATAAACAAAAATTACTCAAATTCGGTATGAAATACACATATAAAGGGACTTATCTTAAGTGTATCCATGTTATTAGATGTTTAACTTCTACTGCACTACATGTCAGAAGGAGAAATGGTATTTCTTTGTCTAAAAAATGTGTTCACTTCCATATTTAACCTTCATACTGTTCTTGTTTGACATACAATCACAGCTGTTTTAACAAATACTGCCCTTGTTTCTTCCTAAAGTGAAGGTTAGAATCCTTGTGTGAGAAGGTATTTGACCATGATTGCGGAGACAGAGAAAAAATGATAACACACACCAAACTGATTGTAGGAAACAACAACTGTCCTTGACTCAAATATGATCCACTCTATGCAGAGGTGTAAAGTAGCTTAGTACATTTACTCAAGTACTGTACTGAAGTACAATTTTGAGGTATTTGTACTTTACTTGAGTATTTCCATTTTATGCAACTTTGTGCTTCTACTCCACTACAGTTCAGATGTAAATGGTGTACTTTTACTCCACTACATGTATTTAATCCCTTCCCTTTAGTTACTTTACAGATCTGGATTAATGATGTGAAATATAATCAAGTGTTAAATCAGACTTTAGTTCCACCTGGAGTAAATTCACAAGCTACCCTGCAGTATACAAAGTCATTCAAACTAGCTGCACCTTTACCAGCTTTGATAACACTTTGATGATCAATCATTATAAAACATAACGTACATATTATTCTGAAATGGACCAATCTGCACAATGACTACTTTTACTGTCGCTACTTTAACTATATTTTGATGATAATACTTTTCTACTTTTACTTGAGGAACATTTTGAATGCAGGACTTTTACTGAGTATTCCTACACTCTGGTACTTCTACTTTTACTACAAGATCTGAGTACTTCTACTTTTACTCAAGTACAACATCTGAGTACTTGTACTCAAGTACAATATTTGAGTACTTAAATCTACTTAGTTACTTTAAACCACTGAGTATTTCTACTTTTAAGTAAAGAGGAACTTCTTCCACCTCTGTCCACCAGTTCTTCACGCTGCGTGTAGTTCTCGCGAGATTTCACGAGAGGATAAGTTGAAGGGAACATGGCGACGTCTCATTTGCTAAAGGTAGGAGCCACTTCAATTCCATTATTTCTTATAAAACGCTCACTAAAGTGTGTGACATTTACATGGTGTAATGTTGGCATTTAGCTCCACACTTAACACACATCACACAGCACCTATTAGCGATTCTACATGATTTATGTGGGATAGTTAACTTACATCTAGCTAGCATTAGCATGAGCTACTTATCACTGATTTAGCTAAACAGAATAGCTACATCACAGCTAACTGAATATGAGAGAAACAGGCAGAGAGATTGGAGACGTGTTGTTATCTTAACCTGCGTTTAAATATGAATATTATGTGTGCATACGGTAGCTACACATCTCATATCATCTGTCACTTCAGTTCAGACCCTCCCCTCTAAAGCAAGCCCTGTGTTCCCGTACTGTACATTAAGTTAATATTTCTCCATGCAAAGTCTTGTGTTTTGTCTGTTTTGTCTGATATGTGTCTCCAGCAGTAGCCCCTCTTTCTTGACACCAAATTAATTGTGATTGCATTTAAACACACTGCCTTATGTTCCTGTCAAGCTAATGTTAGTCAGGTAGATAACAGCTGAGGATTAATGTTAACTCAATGCACATAAAGTGTTAGGACGATGTATTTCTGCAGACTTTAGCAGTGTGTGTTTGAAGGGGAGGGTCAGGAGAAGCTCTATTTATTTTGTTGTGTACAGTGAAGGGTTACTATTGTCCTCCTTTTTATAATAACAAAAGCTAGATCGTTTATTTCAAGGGGTTTATACTTAATTGTCTGCAATTTGGGGATTTTTTGGGCATTCTTAACGATGCATCAGGTGTGGAAACTAAACCCAAGAGTCCTACAATATGGGTCAATACAATGAACCTTGATTACAGATAGTTATACACAGAATGCAATACAGAAATAAAGCCAGTAGTTAATGCACTATACTATTCAAATACACGCTGATAATAGCCGCAGAAATATCCCGTCCTTACAGTTGATACAGCATTGAGTTAAAGTTAATCCTCAGCTGTAATCTACCTAACAAAGCTTAGCTTGACAGGAACATAAGACACTGTGTTTTAATGCAATCATAATTCATTTGTTGACAAGAAAGAGGGACAGGGGAGGTGACACAGCTGCTGTTGGAGACACTTATCAGAGCTGTGTTTAGAGAAAATGGCTTGCAGTCAAAATACAAGACTTTGCATGGAAAAATATTATCTTTATGTACAGTGTGAGCAAACAGGCCATGTTCTAGTGCTTTAGTTACTGTCTCTTTCTCTGCTTAAGATTCACTTTATTGTCCCAGAGTGTAGAGGATATTAAAGAAGACATATTCTGCTATTTTCAGATGTATATCAGTATGTAGTGTCTCTACTTTAAAGAGTCCTCTCCTGCTGATGTTCAGGTGTATATCAGTATGTAGTGTCTCTACTTTAAAGAGTCCTCTCCTGCTGATGTTCAGGTGTATATCAGTATGTAGTGTCTCTACTTTAAAGAGTCCTCTCCTGCTGATGTTCAGATGTATATCAGTATGTAGTGTCTCTACTTTAAAGAGTCCTCTCCTGCTGATGTTCAGGTGTATATCAGTATGTAGTGTCTCTACTTTAAAGAGTCCTCTCCTGCTGATGTTCAGGTGTATATCAGTATGTAGTGTCTCTACTTTAAAGAGTCCTCTCCTGCTGATGTTCAGATGTATATCAGTATGTAGTGTCTCTACTTTAAAGAGTCCTCTCCTGCTGATGTTCAGGTGTATATCAGTATGTAGTGTCTCTACTTTAAAGAGTCCTCTCCTGCTGATGTTCAGGTGTATATCAGTATGTAGTGTCTCTACTTTAAAGAGTCCTCTCCTGCTGATGAACAGTTTGAATCATCTTCTCTCTCTCTGTTTCCAGAACAAAGGCTCCCTTCAATTCGAGGACAAATGGGAGCTGATGCGTCCGATCGTGCTGAAGCTGCTGCGGCAGGAGAGCGTCACCAAGCAGCAGTGGTTCGACTTGTTCTCGTGAGTTTACCCTAACACACAGAGGTGGGAAGTAGTGGAGTACAAATACTTCGCTACTGTACTTAAGTACATTTTTTCTGGTATCAGTACTTTACTCCACTACTTATTTTTCTGACATCTTTTTACTTTGACTTCTTACATTTTGAACAAAAATACCTGTACTTTCTACTTCTTACATTTTCCAAACAGGCTGGTTACTTTAGTTTGAATGTGTGTTTGGTGGCGTGATCATTATTATTTAGAGTCATTGCGTGCCTATTGATTTGAACACGATCCGTGTATCCATCATTTCCTGGTCTTCTCTAAAGAAGAGGGACCAATGAAAACGTTGTCATGTTGCCGTTGTTCAGCATGGAAACATTCATTAGCTAACAATGACATTATTGTTCTATTAATATAAAGGGAGGTCAGGTACTCTTTAAAACAGCTGCTAGTTATGGGTACTTTTTACTGAAGTACATTTCAAAGCCCTCTTTACTTTGACTTGAGGAAAGAAGTTTAGTCAGTACTTCTACTTTTACCAGAGTATTTTTAAACACGAGTATCTGTACTTCTACTTGAGTAAAGGGTGTGTGTACTTTTGCCATCCCTAACCATCACACATCTGCTTCCAATAAGGCATATTAGAGTAGATTAGATTCAACTCTATTACAGTGTTTCCCCTACCATTGTCTTGGAGGGGCGCTGCGCCCCGCCAAAGGAGCCCCGCGCCCCCCCTGAAATTCAAGGTGTTTAAAAAAATAATTTATATATATATACACTGTATTGTCATTGCGCACAGTACAACGAAATGCAGCTTGCATCCAACCAGAAAGTGCAAAGAGTAGTAAAGAGGTTTTAATATATTCACATATCAGATCAATGTATATAAATGCATAAGTATGAACAAAGTTCTATGCATGAGGTGCAGATTTAGAGTATATACATATACGGTGCAGGGTTGCATATATTAATTATATGTTAAAGGTACATTTGTTAAAAAGACAGATAATTCCTCTAACATTGTGTGTCCTCTTTGTGTCCACAGAGACGTCCATGCTGTGTGTCTTTGGGACGACAAAGGTCCCGCTAAGATCCACCAGGCGCTCAAAGAGGACATCCTAGAATTTATCAAACAAGCACAAGCAGTAAGACAAGTTATACACAAGTTATAGCACAAGGCCCATTGATACCTAAGAACATTTTTCATTGTTTTTCATATTTATTATAATTTTTTGTTATATTATTGTATTTATTTTTGAATTATTTATTATTATTATTTATTTATTATTTTCTTAGATAATGTTTTACATTTTCAGGTTATTTTAATTTATATTGTTTTATTATTTAACATTATTATTTACTGATTTTCATATTTTTATTATTATTTATTATTGTATTTTTTCATTCGTATTATTATTATTATTATTATTTATTCATTATTATCTATGAAAATGTTTTTATTAAATTAACAATTAAATCTTGAATCTTTATTTGTTCAGTATTTTATACAACATTTTTATTTTTAATTTAACTATTTACAATCATTTTCTTATTATACATTTTTTTTTTCTATATTTTAAGTCTTTCATTATTTTTCTATAATCTAATTATATTATTAAGAATTTGTATTATATATTTATTATTTCTCTTTGTTAATATTATTCATCATATAATTCATTTTTCATCCTTTTTATTATACACTCACTTCATTCTGAAACCATCTCCTCTAACGTGTAACCAATGCTTGTCTGACTTCTCATTCTCTCCGTTATAATCTACGTTTCTCCCCTCATATCCTCATCAAAGTGTTGATTTTCTTCCCGTGTTTCCAGCGGGTGCTGAGTCACCAGGACGACACGGCGCTGCTGAAAGCGTACATTGTGGAGTGGAGGAAGTTCTTCACTCAGTGCGACATCCTCCCAAAGCCCTTCTGCCAGCTGGAGATCACTCTGATGGGGAAGCAGGGCAGCAACAAGAAGTCCAACGTGGAGGACAGCATCGTCAGAAAGGTGACGAGAAACCAGCATGTCGTGCTTTTTATACATTAGAAGCTTCTGTTAAGGTCTTTGAAAGAAGCTGTCATCATATTTTTTGTGTCATCAACCTCAACAAAGTCTAAAAAGTGTAATTGAAGGGACTGTGCTTTTAATGGGGCTTTTTCTACATTTTCAAGATTCAAGCTTCAAAGGTTTTATTGTCATATGCACAAAGCTACAGTGTAGAAATGGCAATGACATTCTTCTGACCCAAGCTCCTCCAACAATGAAACATATATAATAAAATGCATTTCAAGCTTCTGTTAAGATCTTTGAAAGAAGCTGTCATCACATTTTTGTGTCATCAACCCCCAAAAATGTCTAGAAAGTGTAATTTAAGGTACTCTGCTTTTAATGGGGCTTTTTCTACATTTCAAGCTTCTCAACCCCCCAAAAAAAGTCTAAAAAGTTAAATTATTACTGTGTAATTGCTGCTGGACCTCGACGTTAAAACAGCTGCTTAGTTTCCCTTTGAGTGCAGCAAGAAGAAGGCCAATAAGTGTTTTTTGACGGAAGTGAAAGGGATGTTTTTGAAAGGCTTAACACCAGCAAACATGTATTTAAGAAGAATATTTAGCTTGATAAACATGTGTCAAATCATCAAAATAATTATATAATAAATGGTATTTATATAGACGCCTTTCAAGATACACAAAACAGAAACAACAAGACAATATAATCAATAAGAACAGAGGATGTGTCATGTGATCAGGGTGGAGAGATGTGTTTTGAAAGAGGGGTGAGACGGAGTTGTCTATCTTGTTTTCTTTTCAAAGTTATTTACAACACTCTGGAGTGATTGGAGAAACACAGAAACAGTCCTTTCTTTATCTGAAACTGTAGAAACACTGGCTTTAAACACAATGTTAGCTTTTCAAATGTTAAGTTTTTCAAATTGAATGTCATGGAAGAAGTTTGAAAGCTAAGAACAATTAAGTACATTTGAATATTTACTGTTATTATTAAGTGCTTTTATTTTGAGGGCAGCTTTGGGCACCAGGTGATTCTGTGTTTATTGGAGACAGGTGGTGGGATTGGTTAACCAGAAAAGGCAGCAAGTCAAGATAGTTAAAGTCATTGTTCCTTGTACTTTTTGATCGTTTCAATAAGTAAAACACAAACTACATTATTGGAAAATGAATTGCTACCAAATAAGATCCTCTGTCTGTCGCCTCAGCTGCATTTTGAATTCTGAGTTTCTTGTTGTGTTTCTTTCTGATTTATTGACTCTGCCTCTCTGTGTTTCTGCAGCTGATGCTGGACACGTGGAACGAGTCGATCTTCTCCAACATTAAGAGCCGGTTACAGGACAGCGCCATGAAGCTGGTTCACGCTGAGCGGCTCGGAGAAGCCTTCGACTCTCAGCTGGTGATCGGAGTGAGGGAGTCGTACGGTGAGAAACACAGAAACACAGAAACTGCTCAGGTCACATTATTCCTTTTTATTTTATTTTTTTTTTTTGATAATAATAGATTTGTTTTATTCTGATAATAATTTAAATATTTGTATTGAATTGTTTTTAATTATTCTTTCATCATTTCATTATTTTACATTTGTATAATAATAATTTTTCTATTTTATTTATTGATCTTATTTTCCCATTATTTTGTAATTATTTAAATTGTTCAATTTTTATTATTTATTTTAATATAAATGCTTCTTATTTTCTTCTTCTTATAATTTATTTTAATATACATTTTTTATTTAATAATGTATCTCTTCTCCCTCTCTCCTCAGTGAACCTGTGCTCGAACCCAGAGGATAAGCTTCAGATCTACAGAGATAACTTTGAGAAAGCGTACATGGACTCGACCGAGAGGTTCTACAGAACTCAGGCTCCGGCTTACCTGCAGCAGAACGGGGTCCAGAACTACATGAAATATGTGAGTGTGGTTATCAAACTGTTTTGGACTCGTGATGAATTTGTTCTTCCGCAGGGCCGTTTCTTCCTATAGGCGGACTGCGGATGCATGGGGCCCCCGCGGCCACTAGGGGGTCCCCAAGCTGAAAGTTCAGGTTCAGCCTCAATATATTTGGGGAGAATTCAAATGAGCCGTCTTTATTTGTAGACAGCCAAGCCCCCTCCTGTGTTCGGTGAAGCATTATATGCTTACAAATCAATTATAGGATATAAACACAACTAAACTGCAATGATAGCAAAGCTGTGGCTTGTGTTTGTGGGGATCAATAACGTCCAAATCATCGTTGGGCTGACAGCCAATGAGTGACGTCTGAGGAAGATGAAAAATGTAAATTATACATTGTTGAGAAAATGCTGCATCTCTTGCATCTATTGACGTAGAGGAGCCTTATTGTTTGGCTTTTTAATATCATTTTTTGTAAGTTTCAATTGCTTGGTTTTCGTGAAATTAGCCTGTTTTCCTCTTAAAGTGTAACAGATTGATGCATCTCCACAGATCATCTTAAAGGCTTCCTGGGAATCCCCCCATTGTCGTTTAAAAACTATAAAAAAAACTGTAAAAACTAGGGCCCCCAAACAGCATCTTGCATGGGGCCCCCAAACAGCATCTTGCATAGAGCCCCCAAACAGCATCTTGCATGGGGCCCCCAAACAGCATCTTGCATGGGGCCCCCAAACAGCATCTTGCATAGAGCCCCCAAACAGCATCTTGCATGGAGCCCCCAAACAGCATCTTGCATGGAGCCCCCAAACAGCATCTTGCATAGAGCCCCCAAACAGCATCTTGCATAGAGCCCCCAAACAGCATCTTGCATGGAGCCCCCAAACAGCATCTTGCATAGGGCCCCCAAACAGCATCTTGCATGGGGCCCCCAAACAGCATCTTGCATGGAGCCCCCAAACAGCATCTTGCATGGGGCCCCCAAACAGCATCTTGCATGGGGCCCCCAAACAGCATCTTGCATGGGGCCCCCAAACAGCATCTTGCATGGAGCCCCCAAACAGCATCTTGCATAGGGCCCCCAAACAGCATCTTGCATGGAGCCCCCAAACAGCATCTTGCATGGAGCCCCCAAACAGCATCTTGCATGGAGCCCCCAAACAGCATCTTGCATAGAGCCCCCAAACAGCATCTTGCATAGAGCCCCCAAACAGCATCTTGCATAGGGCCCCCCAAACAGCATCTTGCATGGAGCCCCCAAACAGCATCTTGCATAGAGCCCCCAAACAGCATCTTGCATGGAGCCCCCAAACAGCATCTTGCATAGGGCCCCCAAACAGCATCTTGCATGGGGCCCCCAAACAGCATCTTGCATAGGGCCCCCAAACAGCATCTTGCATAGGGCCCCCCAAACAGCATCTTGCATAGGGCCCCCAAACAGCATCTTGCATAGGGCCCCCAAACAGCATCTTGCATAGAGCCCCCAAACAGCATCTTGCATGGAGCCCCCAAACAGCATCTTGCATGGGGCCCCCCAAACAGCATCTTGCATAGGGCCCCCAAACAGCATCTTGCATAGAGCCCCCAAACAGCATCTTGCATGGGGCCCCCAAACAGCATCTTGCATGGGGCCCCCAAACAGCATCTTGCATGGGGCCCCCAAACAGCATCTTGCATAGGGCCCCCAAACAGCATCTTGCATAGAGCCCCCAAACAGCATCTTGCATGGGGCCCCCAAACAGCATCTTGCATGGGGCCCCCAAACAGCATCTTGCATAGGGCCCCCAAACAGCATCTTGCATAGGGCCCCCAAACAGCATCTTGCATGGGGCCCCCAAACAGCATCTTGCATGGGGCCCCCAAACAGCATCTTGCATAGAGCCCCCAAACAGCATCTTGCATGGGGCCCCCAAACAGCATCTTGCATGGGGCCCCCAAACAGCATCTTGCATAGGGCCCCCCAAACAGCATCTTGCATAGGGCCCCCAAACAGCATCTTGCATAGAGCCCCCAAACAGCATCTTGCATAGGGCCCCCAAACAGCATCTTGCATAGGGCCCCCAAACAGCATCTTGCATAGAGCCCCCAAACAGCATCTTGCATGGGGCCCCCAAACAGCATCTTGCATGGGGCCCCCAAACAGCATCTTGCATAGAGCCCCCAAACAGCATCTTGCATAGGGCCCCCAAACAGCATCTTGCATAGGGCCCCCAAAAAGGTAGAAACGGCCCTGAGTCAGTAGACGCCTGAATCTCCAAGGAAATCCAAGGTTAAAAACTAATTCAATGCCTTTGTTGTACTGGCAGGACCCTAAAAAACAAACGGGTTATTGTTTTTTTTGCTTCTTTTCTTCTTGTTTTAAGATTTTTCTTTACGTACATTATAGCTTTTTTTTGTCGTGACTATTTAATGCTATTGAGAAATACTTTTGAGAGGCCTAAAAGTAGAAGTGGATACTGCGTTCCCATATGGTGGCCCATTCCTAGAATTTTTTTTTCATTGTTTTTTTATAATTATTGTAATTATTATTATTATAGTTGTATTTATTTTTGAATTAATTTAGAATTTTAACCCTAACCCTATTATTATTATTTTATTTATTTTTTATTATTTTATATATTTTATTTATTATCCAAGAATTTGTTTAAATATTTTACATAATTATTTTTAAATTATTAAACATTATTACAATTATTTTTGTATTTAATATTATAGACATACAAATTGATATTTATCTACTGTTAGAAATATGAAGAAAATCCAATATTACTATAATTCCAACCAAATACTTGATGCGTTCATCAGAAATTTGATAAATAATGATCATTAATGTGAATATAATGACAAAGTGGGTAAAGGTAAATAATATAAAAGCTTCACAGCAAGGTACATTTAAAAAAAAAAAACAACACTTTACTTTAATGAAGCCTTTAAAACCAGCACCACTTACGATGTTAGAATATCCACAATCTAAGAGGATATCTAGTCTCATATCATTAGTGATTCAATATTAATATATGTTTCCCAGCCATAATTAAAAGGTTCAAACGGTGAGACAGCAGCCCTTTCTGCTCCCTGTTTAAAAAGTGTTGTAATCGCTCTGCTCCCAGCATGCTCTCTGCTCACTCTGACAGAAAAACTACTTTCACGACAGGAAGCAGAAACTGGAGGCTCCTCTCCTCTGTTGTGAAGGTGTTGGAAATGAATCCAAACAGCAAACAGTCAGAGGTCCGCTTCACGTTATCCCTCTTAATAAAACATAACTGAAGCTGGTGGGTGTTAAAGCAGCGTGAGGCTGAAAGGGATCTGATGAGAAAACAGGTCAAACTTTAATACTACATGTTATTCAGATAGTGAAGTTATTTATGTTCCCACGACGATACTGAGCTCCATTTCCAACATCAACAAGGACAAATATTAAGACAAGATACAAGGAAAACATACATGTAAAGAGGACACATCAGTATGTAGTGTCTCTACTTTAAAGAGTCCTCTCCTGCTGATGTTCAGGTGTATATCAGTATGTAGTGTCTCTACTTTAAAGAGTCCTCACCTGCTGATGTTCAGGTGTTTATCAGTATGTGTGTCTCTACTTTAAAGAGTCCTCTCCTGCTGATGTTCAGGTGTATATCAGTATGTAGTGTCTCTACTTTAAAGAGTCCTCTCCTGCTGATGTTCAGGTGTATATCAGTATGTAGTGTCTCTACTTTAAAGAGTCCTCTCCTGCTGATGTTCAGGTGTATATCAGTATGTAGTGTCTCTACTTTAAAGAGTCCTCTCCTGCTGATGTTCAGGTGTATATCAGTATGAAGTGTCTCTACTTTAAAGAGTGTGAATTTAATAAGTAATTGTTTGTGTTTTCAGGCTGATTCGAAGTTAAGAGAAGAAGAGAAGCGAGCGCTGAGATACCTGGAGACGAGAAGAGACTGTAACTCTGTTCAGGCTGTGAGTTTACACACGGTGTGATCCTATAGTGAAGTGAATACATGTACAATCAAAACCCCCCAACCAAAGTACCCCCCCCCCCCCCACACCCCCACACCTTATCACCTGCATGTCCTCCTAGAGCACCAATAGCCGCGTTCACACCAAGTACTTTGCCGTATTTAGTGCCGGCACTCAGTGCCCCGGCACTTATGACCCCAGGGCACTTAGTACAGATCGCGTTCACACCGGAGTACTTTTCCCTGAGGGAAGATTACGCAAATGAGCCGCTGACGTCACTTCGTCTTCTTCTGCTTTGGGTTTACTGGCAGGCAGCAAACAACTTCACGGCGTATACTGCCACCCGGAGTCCCCGGCCGGAAGTCCCCGGAGTTGGGGACTGGCTTCAGTAGAAGCTGCTGGGACTCCCAGCAGCTTCTACTGAAGCCTTCCGAGTAAATCGCCAGAACGCCGACACCTCCTCATCTCCACCGCTCCCATGTTTTCTTTTGTGTTGCCATAAGTTAGTCTCTCTGCGTTTGTGCGCTGGGCGAATGCTAATGCTAATAATGCTAATGCCAGGATAATAAAATGGCGGCTCTCCAAAACATTTCAGAGTTTTACGGGGCGTGGTTTGCAGCCCAGCCAATCAGAACTGGGGCACTTTTTTCCCCCAGGAAAGTACCATCTCTCAGCAGGCACTAAAAATGGGGGTAAAAGTTCCCGAGATGAAGTGCTCTTTTTGGTGTGAATGCGACATAAGGGGTACTAACGAAACTAAACGCGAAAAGTACGGTGAAAAGTACTCCGGTGTGAACGCGGCTATTGTGTTATTTTTAACCAAATCTCTCTCCTTATTTTCATCTAAAGTAACAGACAGAGAATCAGCACTTTGGAAACAGGGCTGAAACAGAGGGGATTATGGGATGCTGCAATGATATATAATATATTGTTGGAAAAGAGTAGAATAGGGGACCTTTTTAAGTTTCTCTTTCTGCCTTTGCCTCCCTAGTTAATGGAGTGTTGTGTGAACGCTCTGGTCACCTTGTTTAAAGAGACCATTTTGACCGAGTGTCCCGGGATGATCAGACGAAACGAGACAGAGAGTGAGTACGGCCGGACGAACCCCACCAAAGGCACAGCAAGCTCAGGTTTGCACCAGGAAACAACCTGACCAAACCTCTCTGTCACACACCTGTACAACACCTGTCACGTTAACGTTGTGTGTGTGTGTGTGAACTTGTTGATGGTAACATTTTGTGTGTGTGTGAACTTGTTGATGGTAACATTTTGTGTGTGTGTATGAACTTGTTGATGATAACGTTGTGTGTGTGTGTGAACTTGTTGATGGTAACGTTGTGTGTGTGTGTGAACTTGTTGATGGTAACGTTGTGTGTGTGAACTTGTTGATGGTAACGTTGTGTGTGTGTGTGAACTTGTTGATGGTAACGTTGTGTGTGTGTGTGTGTGTGAACTTGTTGATGGTACAGTTGTGTGTGTGTGTGTGAACTTGTTGATGGTAACGTTGTGTGTGTGAACTTGTTGATGATAATGTTGTGTGTGTGTGTGTGTGTGTGTGAACTTGTTGATGGTACAGTTGTGTGTGTGTGTGTGAACTTGTTGATGGTAACGTTGTGTGTGTGTGTGTGAACTTGTTGATGGTACAGTTGTGTGTGTGTGTGTGAACTTGTTGATGGTAACGTTGTGTGTGTGTGTGTGAACTTGTTGATGGTAACGTTGTGTGTTTCCTCGGCTCCAGAGCTGCACCTGATGTTCTCTCTGATGGACAAAGTGCCGAGCGGCATCGAGCCGATGCTGAAGGACCTGGAGGATCACATCATGAGCGCTGGACTCGCTGACATGGTGGCAACAGCAGAGACAATCACTTCTGTGAGTCACACACACCCACACACACACTCACTGACTCACTCACTCACTCACACACACACACAACATAATAGTGGAGATCTGGGAACATGATCATGGTAAATGAAAAATATGTACATTTTAACTTTAAGATTATCTAAACCTGTTGGGTGTACTTCTCATGAATCCAGACACACACACACACACACACACACACATACACATACACATACACATACACATACATATATATATATATATATATATATATATATATATATATATATATATATATATATATATATATATATATATATATATACACACACTCACTGAAAACACTAAAACTACTGTTCAGTCTCGATGATATCAAAACATTTGAGGCCACTAGTTGCTGCAATTAAGAGAATCCTGGATTTAAAGCTCCTATACTTTAAACTCAATGCAGCAGATTTAAAACGTTACACTCAAAAACTGCATTTATCTCTGACACTGTCCTATAATGAAGAGGAAATCTATTTAGTAAATTGCGTACTGATGAATAATACAGTCAACTTTTATTTTGTATTTAGAGCCAGTGTGGACATAGCCAAAGAACCCTCATTATAGACATGTTTCATAAATATTATAAAACAGAATTCACACAACTAAATAGGAGAAGAGAAATTGGTCATTTTGAAATCCAAACAGTAACAACATGGCCATGAAATAAAGATCTGTAATGTAACTAATGCAGCAAATGGTGTTTTCAGACCCTCAAACTCCTGTAAAAGATCCAAGATAATTTTTTTTATTTCTGTCTGTTCTCATCTCATCGACTGGTTTCTCCTTCTTTGTTTCAGGACTCAGAGAAATACGTGGAGCAGCTTCTCACGTTGTTTAACCGTTTCAGCCGCTTGGTGAAAGAAGCGTTTCAGGACGACCCGCGCTTTCTCACCTCTCGAGACAAAGTGAGATCATGGTTTACTGACATGGACGATATTAATAAAACATGTCAGAAGATCTTAAAACTGATCCTGTTTTTCAATGTTCTTCCAGGCGTATAAAGCTGTTGTGAACGACGCCACTATTTTTAAATTAGAACTTCCTTTGAAGCAGAAAGGGTGAGTTTGGAGGAGGTTAAGGGCCACGTGAGAAAATACATTTGGGATGTGACCAGAAGTTTAAAAAACAATGTGGGTTCTGAGATTTAGGTTAGAATTCTGATAAATCAGAATTACGAAAAAAGGCTGATTTCTGAGAAAAAAGTCAGAATTTTGAAAAAATTGAGACTTCAAAGAATAGTCAGAATTTTTTTGAAAAAAGTCAGAATTCATGAAAAAAGTGAACTCCGGAAAAATACAGATTTCTGAGAATAAAGTCAAAATTTTGAGAAAAAAAGTGAGAATTGTGAAAAAATACAGATTTCTCAGAAAAAAGTGAGAATTCAGAGAAAGTCAGAATTCCCGGGAAAAAAGTCAGAATTTTGAGAAAAAAGTCAGTAATCAGAAAAAAGTGAGAATTGCGAATAAATACAGATTCCTCAGAAAAAAGTTAGAATTCAGAGAAAAGTGAGAATTCAGAGAATAGTGAGAATTTACAAAAAAAGTCTGAATTTACAAAAAAAACTGATTTTTGAGAATTTTGAGATCAAAGTTGGAATTTCTTTTTCTTTTTCTGAGT